CTGACTTGAAAACAAAATTACAAAGAATATTTATTTCTTGTTATCTCATCTGATATGTCCCAAATCTGGGTTTCACATAACTTTTTAGAGTCATCATTTCCTTCACTATAAATTGTGCTTGCCAACATTTCTATTAAAATTTTTTCTTAGGAGCTGAAAGATCATCTGTTCTTGTAAAACAGAGACAGGGCTCTTGGACCCCACCTGGGCCATCTTGTTAATTAATAGGGAAGCAAGGGCAGGCTTCGTCTCCACCTTAAAACCAAACAAAGACAAGGTGAGGCAGAATGAGATTGTCCTAGGAAGCAGCAGCAACCTGGCCTGATGGTGATTAGTACTCATTTTTCACCAACTGCCAAAGGGATTTTCTTCTTACTTGAGGTGAGGATCTCTGTGTCACATTAGCATGAAAAGATATAACAAGGCTAGGAATTTCCTCCTGGGAGGAACTGGCTATGGTTGTTGGTGTCAATTAGTGAAGTGAAGTCACTCAGTCGTGTCCGACTCTTTGCGACCCCATGGACTGTAGCCCCCCAGGCCCCTCCGTCCATGGAATTTTCTAGGCAAGAGTACTGAAGTGGGTTGCCATTTCCTTCTCCAGGGGATCTTCCCAACCCAGGGATCGAACCCGGGTCTCCCCCATTGTGGGCAGATGCTTTACCGTCTGAGCCACCAGGGAATCAGAGTATGATGCAAAAGCCACAGGAGCCACGCATCGGTCAGTGAAATATGCCTCCCACCAGCCACTTGGCCTAACCTACATCTGTCTTCTCCTGAACTCTTCCATGGCCTTCAACAGAGTCCAAGATACCAGTTTAAAGAATAAAAGTGGCCCCTCTTGCCACTTCTGTTTAACATAGTATTGGAAGTCCGAGCCACAGCCATCAGACAAGGAAAAGAAATAAAAGGCATCCAAATTAGACAGGAATAAGTAAAACCACCACTATTTGCAGAGAACATGATATTTTCTATAGAAGACCCTAAAGTCTCCACCAAAATAGTATTAGAACTAATCAATGAATTCAGTAAAGTAGCAGGATGCAAGAATAATATACAGAAATCAGTTGCTTTTCTATACAGTAATAATGAACTATCAGAAAAAAGTAAAAAAAAAATCCATTTAAAATCACATCAAAAAGAATAAAATATTTGGGAATAAACTTAACCAAGGAGGTGAAAAATCTATACTCTGAAAACTATAAAAGACTGATGAAGAAAACTGAAAATAATAGAAAGAAATAGGAAGATATCCCATGCTCTTGGACTGGAAGAATTAATATTATTAAAATGGCCATACTACCCAAAGCAATCTACAGATTTAATGCAATCCCTATTAAAATACCCATGACACTTTCCACAGAACTAGAACAAATAATCCTAAAATTTGTATGGAACCACACAAGACCTGGGATTGCTAAAGCAATCTTGAGAATAAAGAACAAAGTTGGAGATATCACCTTCCCAGTCCTTAGACTACAGTAATCCAAGCAGTGTGGTACTGATACAGAATTAGGCACATAGAGCCCAGAAATAAACTGACACACCTCTGGTCAATTAGTCTATGACAAAAGAGACAAGAATACACAATGGAGAAAAGACAGTCTCTTGGATAAATGGTGCTGGGAAAACTCAACAGCTACATGTAAAAAAATGAGATTAAGACTTCCCTGGTGGTTCACTGGTAGAGAAACTGCCTGCCAATGCAGGCGACACGGGTTCAATCCCTAGTCTGGGAAGATTCTACACGCTGCAGAGCAACTAAGCCCATGCGCCACAACTATGGAGTCTGAGTTCTAGAGCCCGCAAACTGCAACTACAGAAGCCCACGTGCTCTAGAGCCCATGCTCTGCAACAAGAGAAGCCACTGCAAAGAGCAGCCTGTAGGCCACAACTAGAGAGTAGCCCCCAGTCACCACAACTAGAGAAAGCCCAGGGGCAGCAACAAAGACCCAGTGCAAGCAAAAATAAATAAAACATTTTTTTTTAAAGAGCCAATGCAAAAAAATGATTAGAACACTTTCTCATGCCATATACAAAAATAAACTCAAAACGGATTAAAGACCTAAATATAAGACTTGAAATCATAAAGCTCATAGGCAAAACACTCTTCGACATGTCGGAGCAATATTTTCTTGGATCTATCTCCTAAGGCAGAAGAAATAAAAGCAAAAATAAACAAACAGGGTGTAATCAAACTTAAAATTTTGCCCTTGAAAAAACAAAAAGATAACCTATGAGGACTCTCAGTGGTTAGGAATCCATGCTTCCAATGCAAGGGCCACAAGTTAGATCCCTGGTCAGGGAACTAAGATCCCACATGCCATGCAGTAGAGAAGAAGGGGGAAAAAAAGACAACTTACGGAATGGGAGAAAATTTTTGCAATGTGACCAATAAGGGGGTGTATGTATCCAACATACAAAAACAGCTCATACAACTCAGCATTAAATAAAACAAATAACCCAACTAAAAAATAGGCAGATGACCTGAATAGACATTTTTCCAAAAAGGGAAATGCAGATGGCCAAGAGGCACATAAAAAGCTGCTCAGCATCACTAACTATCAGAGAAATGCAAATGAAAATCACAATGAGATATCACCTCACATCTGCCAAATGGATATCATCACAAAGTCTACAAACAACAAATGTTGGCGAGGATGTGGAGAAAGGGGAATCCTTCAACACTATTTGTGGGAATGTAAACTGGTGCAGCCACTGTGGAAAATAATATGGAGGGTCCTCAGAAAACTAAAAATAGAACTACCATATTATCCAGCAGTTCCACTTGAGTATATATCTAGAAAAAAACACACATTCAAATTGTTTCGTTGCTAACTCATGTCCGACTATTTATGACCCCACGGACTGTAGCCCATCAAGCTCCTCAGTCCATGGGATTTCCCAGGCAAGAATACTGGAGTGGGTTGCCATTTCCTCCTCCAAGGGATCTTCCTGACCCAGGAATATAACACACGTCTCCTGCATTGGCAGGCAGATTCTTTATCACTGAACCAAGGTACATGTACCTCAATATTTCATGACAGAATTATTTACAATTGCCAAGATATGGGAGCAACTGAAGTATTCACAACATATGAGTGGATAAGGAAGATGTGGTATATATATATATATACATATATATGTATACACACACAATAGAATATTACTCAGGCATAAAAAGAAAGAAATTCTGCCATTTGAAGCAATGTGGGTGGACTTAGAGAATATTATGCTTAGTGAAATCAGTCAGACAGAGAAAGACAAATACTGAATGATACCACTCATATGTGGAATGCAAAAAATAAACGAATGTATATAGCACAACAGAAATAGACTCATGGATATAGAAAACAAACTAGTGATTACAAGTTTGGAATGGGAAGAGATGGGCAAAACTGGGATATGGGATTAAGAGGTATGAAGTGCAATGTATAAAATAGATAAGCACCTGGATATATTGTACAGCACAAGGAACCATAACCATTATCTTATACTAACTTTGGAGTATAGTCTGTAAAAATACTGAATCACTATGCTGTATACTTGAAACTAATATAACACTGTAGACCAACTATACTTCAATTTTTTAAAGAATTTTTTAAGGAAAAGAATAAAAGCGGCCCTGAGAGTCATCATCCAGTGAAAAATTCTGGGGGGTCAGTGTTTTTGTCCTGCTCTCTCTAGTCAACGAAACTGAACCTCCTACTAGAGAGGTGAATTACACAAGCTCACCTGTGGAGGGGAAATAACCGGACAAGTCCTCATATTCTAGTCTTCAGACTCCCACACTAGTACTGTTTCCATTAGCCACAAATAAGCCCAGAAAATAGCCCCATCGGCACTGTTGTTGACGAAATGTAAGCACATGTGTTCACGTGTATATTCAGGTTGCTCAATCTCTACATTTGGGCCCTTGGGACCTGACGATGCTGCTGTGAGGGACTGTCCAGTGTATTATAAGATGTTTAACAGCATCCCTGGCTTCTAACCCCTAGATGTCAGCTGCTTCCTTCCTCTAAGCTGTGAAAACTGAAAGTGGAGCCAGGCATTGCTAAATTCTGGAGATTTAAACCTGAGGCTGCAGGAACCATCCTTGGTTGAGAACTACATATCTATGTGTACGTGCATATGCATGATATGAATTATTTTATGAATAACTATTCATGAAGCATTCCCTCAATCCATCAATAAAAGAAAACAAAGGAGGAGTTCTGCAGATACTGAAATCTGTCAAGGCAATCTAGCTTTTATATGTAAGTTTTAGGCACAGCAGCCAACGCTCTTTTTATGTCAGGTTTACTCTATTTGTGTAGAATCACAGCTTTTCACTTCACCTCAAATTACCTTTCTGTATATGCTAACGCATATTAAAAAGTGTCTTTATAGAAAATAGAAAACATTCAGAAATAGGCTTTACAGATCAAAGGCTTTCAAATATATGTTTCCCATTTTTACCAGAATCAGGATCTGTGTTTGTAAAAACATCAGACAACTAGGCCTGCACTGGCTTCAGCATTATAGTGGTGAACCTTAACAGAGAATGCCAGGTGGATAAAAATGAGTTAACATTGGTATAATAACTGATTCTGGGTTTGCATAAGGTCAAAGGATATGTTTAACAGATTGCTAAACCATTTAACTGGTTATTTTGAAATCATATTGAGATAGACATGGTTTTTCTTCTAATTTTTTAAGTTGACTTTTTTGAAACTTCTTTTTAACTGGTTGTGCTGAAGCCACGTAGACTGTTGAGATGCACGTGGCTTTCCCCTTTAATGCTCCAAGTCAATCTTCTTTTTAATAAACATATTAGTTGACATGTAAACTGTCCTATTGAACACATCTTTCAAACCGGACCCCAATGCCAGCCAATGACCCAGAAGCTGTAGCTTCCTTCCTGGGTCTGTGGTGGGGCTGAGACGAATCTGCAGCTTGTAACTCTGGCAGAGCTTTTGTTTGACTGGCAACATCCCCCACGGAATGGCAAAATGGGGCCTTACCTTTGGGAATGGTGATCTGACAACTCAGGTCACAGTCCTGCTGCAGCTGATAAAAAGCCACTTCCTGTAGGCGGGCTCGCTCCAACTCTGAGAGGCTTTGGATGGGCACTGACCTCAACCGCACGCTGCGGCCCGACATACTGTTCCAGGTGAAATCACCCTGCAGACCAAAGGGGAAAACATCAACGGTCACACAGTGATCTGCAACTCACAAACCTCAGCCTCTTCCTCAATTGGTCATAATGTCAAGCAAACTTCATTTTTGTGTTTCAAAATCAGTTCTCAGTCCCTAAAATCCAAGCCACTCTTGGTTAACTGTGGATTTTCTCAGCCAATTGCAAACATCCCAGTCTGGAGAATCTTCTAGGTTACCCGATCTCATAAAATGACACAAAGAAAACCATGTGGAAAGATACTTCAAGATACTGCTTCCTCTCTTTTATGGAAACACATGCAAACTTTTTCATTTTTATTTCTCAGTAACAGAAAACACTACTGCTAATTGCTATCATGCAAAGGCTAACAGAGTTTTGCCAAGAGAATGAACTGGTAATATCAAACAGCCTCGTACAACAACACAAGAGACAACTCTACACATGGATATCACCAGATGGTCAATACTGAAATCAGATGGATTATATTATTTGCAGCCAAAAGATGGGAAAGCTCTAGACAGTCAGCAAAAATAAGACCGGGAGCTGACTGTGACTCAGATCATGAACTCCTTATTACAAAATTCAGACTTAAATTGAAGAAAGTAGGGAAAACCACTAGACCATTCAGGTATGACCTAAATCAAATCCCTTATGATTATATAGTAGAAGTGACAAATAGATTCAAGGGATTAGATCTGATAGACTAAGTGCCTGATGAACTATGGATGGAGGTTCATGACATTGCACAGGAAACAGGGATCAAGACCATCCCCAAGAAAAAGAAATGTAAAATGGTTGTCTGAGGAGGACTTACAAATAGCTTAGAAAAGAAGAGAAGCGAAAGGCAAAGGAGAAAAGGTAAGATATACCCATTTGAATGCAGAGTTCCAAAAAATAGCAAGGAGAGATAAGAAAGCCTTCCTCATAGAGGAAAATGACAGAATGGGAAAGACTAGAGATCTCTTCAAGAAAATTAGAGATACCAAGGGAACATTTCGTGCAAAGATGGACACAATAAAGGACAGAAAAGATATGGACCTAAACAAAGGAGAAGATATTAAGCAGAGGTGGCAAGAATGCACAGAAGAACTATACAAAAAAGATCTTCATGACCTAGATAACCACGATGGTGTGATCACTCACCTAGAGCCAAACATCCTGGAATGCAAAGTCAAGAGATGGGAATACCAGACCACCTGACCTGCCTCCTGAGAAATCTGTACACAGGTCAAGAAGCAACAGTTAGAACTGGATATGGAACAACAGACTGGTTCCAAATCAGGAAAGGAGTACATCAAGGCTGTATATTGTCACCTTGCTTATTTAACTTATATTCAGTGTACATCATGTGAAATGCCAGGCTGGATGAAGCACAAGCTGGAATCAAGATTGCCGGGAGAAATATCAATAACCTCAGAGATGCAGATGACACCACCCTTATGGAAGAAAGTGAAGAACTAAACAGCCTCTTGAGGAAAGTGAAAGAGGAGAGTGAAAATGTTGACTTAAAACTCAACATTCAAAAAACTAAGATCATGGCATCTGGTCCCATCATTTCATGGCAAATAGATGGAGAAACAATGGAAACAGTGACAGACTTTATTTTGGGGGGCTCCAAAATCACTGCAGATGGCGACTGCAGCCATGAAATTAAAAGATGCTTACTCTTTGGAAGAAAAGCCATGTCCAACCTAGACAGCATATTCAAAAGCAGAGACATCACTTTGCCAACAAAGGTCTGTCTAGTCAAAGCTATGGTTTTTCCAGTAGTCATGTATGGATGTGAGAGTTGGACTGTAAAGAAAGCTGAGCACCAAAGAACTGATGCTTTTGTACTGTGGTGTTGGAGAAGACTCTTGAGAGTCCCTTGAACTGCAAGGAGATCCAACCAGTCCATCCTAAAGGAGATCAGTCCTGGGTATTCATTGGAAGGACTGATGCTGAAGCTGAAATTACAATACTTTGGCCACCTGATGTGAAGAACTAACTCATTGGAAAAGACCCTGGTGCTGGGAAAGATTGAAGGCAGGAGGAGAAGGGGATGACAGAGGATGAGATGGTTGTATAGCATCACTGACACAATGGACATGAGTTTGAGCAAGCTCCAGTTGGTGATGAACAGGGAAGTCTGGTGTGCATGGGGTCACAAAGAGTCAGACACAACTGAGTGACTGAACTGAATTGCCATGATGCACACTAGACATGGGAATAGAAACATATGTTGATAGCCTCCTGTGTACCAGTGATGGCGTCAAGGGATTTTTAGTCACTCCTTCAAACAACCTTAAGAGGCAGTTAGTGTTTCTGACCTTATCTTATATAATATTTAATAACAACTATATAATAATACAATCTAGTATATTTATAATATATGACACAATGTATTATTATTATATATAATATTTACTTATGATACATTATCACAGTGTTTACTTAGGATACATTATGTTGATATTACAGTAATATATAGTATGTATAAATATAATATGGCTTCCCAGGTGGCTCATTGGGTAAACAATCCACCTGCAATGCAGGAGATGTGGGTTAGATCACTGCGTCAGGAAGATCTCCTGGAAGAGGGCATGGCAACCCACTCCAGTATTCTGGCCTGGAGAATCCTCATGGACAGAGGAGCCTGGCGGGCTATAGTCCATGGGATCACAAAGAGTTGGACATGACTGAAGCGACTGAGCAAATGCAGCACACAAATATAATATAGATTAATTGAGGCTTAAGAAGGTTAAGTAATTTCCCCCAAATTGTAAAACTTACAAGACTTGAAATCAACCAGGACTTAAGCTAAAAAGACTTAGGCTTTTAAATTCTATGCTAAATTGTAACCACTGAGTTTCTATTTTATAGCAGTCTAATGAGTTATTTTCATCATTGTAAGTGTACAGATATGATCAATAAAAAGTACATATACATATAGACATGTGATGTGAAAATACTCCACATCAAAGACTCAAAGCAGAGATTCCCACAATGCTGGGTTTGTTTGTGTGCACACATACACACCGCTGATTCCACTGAGAGTGAATATCTCTACCCTTGACACAGACAGTGAGAAAGTGATGACATAAGAAACAACACCTCGCAGTCCTCTGAAACCTAATGTCCCCTCACAGAGAAGGAATTCCTAGGAATAACAGATATCAGCCAGGGTACAACAGCTTTGATGAGGTAGCTATTGTTTCCTCAACAATCAAGAAAAGTTCTGCGAGGAGGAACAATGTTGGGCCCCACAGACACGGCCAGGGATTTGCTGTAGATGCGGGAAACATTAAGGAATCCCCAAAGAGTTTATCACCGTCATTAATTATTCACCTGAAAGAAGAGAGACAGAAAGACTGGCCCCAGAGACTATTAAGACACCTTTCTTCTGTACTGGTAGCAAATTCCTGCCTAAATGGTTTGTTCCAAAGAGTAAATGGAAGTATGTTAATTCTTGGATTTTTTTTCCCCTCTTTATCTGGGATTTCACTGATTTATTTATTCATTGTTTTAGCAAATGGAGATATCATACTCTGGTGTGCATCCTCAGTTGCTCAGTCGTGTCCGACTCTTTGTGACCCCATGGACTGTAGCCCGCCAGGCTCCTCTGTCCATGAGATTTTCCAGACAAGAATACTGGAGTGGGTTGTCATTTCCTTCTCCAGGAGATCTTCTCTACCCAGGGATCAAACCCGTGTCTCTTCCTTGGCCAGTGGATTCTTTACCACTGCACCACTTTGGCAGGAGTAGAAAATAAACCAGGGTAAGCAAAGAATATAGTATGTTGAATAACAACAGCTAAGGATGGGGGAAGAAAGCAGGGAAGGGGTCGGCAGTGTTAGCAGAGGACAAAGATTTACAGTGTTAGATTGGGGGGGAGTCGCTGGGAAAGACCTCACAGGGAAGGCTATGTTTCATTAAACATGCACACACCAGTGCATCCCAGATGGGAAGTTCCAGATGAGTTGGTGATTTCTTTCTTTCTTTTTTTTTTTTTTGCTTTACCACAAAGCATGTCGGATCTTAGTTCCCCGACCAGGGATTGAACTCAGGTCCCATGCATTGGAACTCTGGAGTCTTTACCACTGGACTGCCAGGGAACTTGCCAGTGATTTTTAAATATGAAGTTTAGGTATCAAATGGAGCCCACTGCTACCTGAAGTGTCAAATGGAATTACATACCTATTCTTTAAAAGCATTTAAAATATATGCCCTCCAATGGGTCTGTTATCTGTAGCAGGGGTTGGCTATCCTTTTCTGTAAAAGGCCATAAAGTAAATATTTCAGGCTTTGTGGGCCACGTGGTCTCTGTCAAAACTACTCAGATCTGCCTTTGTGGCATGAAAGCAACCATAGTTTATAAGTGAATGGGTATGGCTGTGTGCCAATCAAACTTCATTTACAAGAGAAGGTGGAAGGCTGGATTTGGACAGTGGGCCACAATTTGCCAACCTATGTATAATAGCTTATGGCTCAAGTAAAATAAACCAATCCCTACAAGATACATTTTATTTTTTTATTTACTATGTCCTCCAGGGCTTCCCTGGTGGCTCAGTGGTAAAGAATCTGCGTATAAAGCAGGAAACATAGGTCCGATCCCTGGGTTGCGAGGATCTCCTGAAGAAGGAACTGGCAACCCACTCTAGGATTCTTGACTGGAAAATTTCATGGACAGAGGAACCTAGCAGGCTATAGTTTATGGGGTTCATGGGGGTTGCAAAGGGTCGGACATGACTGAATGAGTAAACAACAACAAATGTCCTGCTGCATAATTAATTTGAACAAAATGTAATGAACACCTATTACATGCTAAAAACAGTACTAGGCTTGAGATTATCAAAATGACAACAGTCCTTGTCCTTAAGGAGTTGAATTTTGGTACGAAGAACACACTCAATCCATGAAATCCAGAGACTGTGATATAAGAAGTAAGAGCCAAATGCAATGGGATGCCTAGAATAAAAGCCTTTGATATCAATCTGGGGATGAAGGCAGGCTTTATAAGAAGGCA